GTTCAAAACAGAAGAGCGGGCTAGGGAGTTGCATGGGATCACGGGGCAGGCAATACAAAGAGCTTCCTCAAGGTGAATCGTCATGACTTTACCACTGGTGTCCATTTTTCTCCAGTTTCCTTCACCTGCGAGGGTGTGTGCCATGAATAAAGAAATCACGAACAATACGAGGGAACAGTAGAATGAAAGTTCATTTTAGACCTATTGAATTCCTCCAATCCTCAGAGGATCACCACATTTCCCTTCACACAGTAATGTTTTTATTGCTCCATGTTTTAAAACAAGTAACATCCATTGAAATAAAAACTATTTGCAAAGAATATGAGATGAAATGGGAAAGGAGGGTTTGGGAACCAGTGCGTGCGATCTCCATGTGCCCGACCTGGATGGGCTCCTGAGAATGGGTACTTTAAAAAAGAATGGTGAGTACAAGCCTATCTTCCCCCTGAGGAGTTTCTCATAGAAGCAGAGTTTATATGTATAGATGTCTGTTTGTAGATACTAATATATCAAGTACATAACATAACAAAAACTAACATTTATTCATTCAGCACAATTTTTTCCAGCATCTGTGAGACAGTCACTGTTTCTGACACTAGAGATGTAGCACTGAGTAGAATTATTTTTTTCAGGATTCCATGGATGCAATTCAGAGACAGCCAAAGACAGCTGAAGGTAGAAGGAAGGTTAAGATTCTTCCTCTAAAGTTTTTTTTCAGTAAACCTATTTTATTCCACCACACAGTGTACTCAGAGTAATCACTCAAAGGAAACCTGGGTAGTAAACAAAACTACTGTCAAGGACACAGGACGCAGGCAAAGCCCAGGGCACAGTCTGATTGGTGTGGCTGGTAGACACAACAACCCAGTTTTAGTTTCAGTGAGCTTATTGTTTACAGAGACAGGAAAAGGAAGAGTAGCCAAAGGTGCCAGCTCCCTCGCTCCTTGTTCTGCACACCGGGAGGGAAGGGGGGACGACCGGGGAAGGAGGCTGGCGGAGCGCACGGCCTGCGGAGCCACCCGGCTGCCCAGAGCTCAGGGAATCTAACACTGTCACACCGGCTCCTCTGTGCACCCCTTCTCCAAGCCCAGAATTTGTCAACCACTTGCTGCTCTCGCTAAGTAACTCTAGTATCTCTTTCAGTCACCTCTGGGCTTCGTTCCTGAGCATAGGGTTTCTTCCTACTTCTAGAGCAGAACATGGGACCTCTGAAGGATGGCTTTGTGTTGTGCCAAAGAAAGCTGAGAACACATTTGCCGTGGTAACAGAGGCAGATTAAGTCATACTAGTGGGGCCAGAAGGGTTTCCCCACTTTTATGACGTCACTGAGTGATCCCACAAATGAGCAGGCAGAAGAAATCGCCTATATTGTCAGGCAATTCTTCCTTTGACCTTCTTGTTCTGAGACCTGCTTCTCCCCTATTGACCCTACAAAAATGTGAGTCAGGTCATGTCATTTCTCTGCTCAAACCTCTGATGGCTACTCAGAAAATAACCCAAGTTCCTTCCTATTACCCACTGGGTCCTACACAATGAGGCCCCGCCTCCTTTGTGCCCTCCAGGGCTCTCCGTCTCCCTCCACGCCAGCGCCCCGGTGGCCTCTCGCTTGCTCCCGCCTCCAGGCCTTAGGATGTAGTTCACCCACATCTCTGCTCAGCTCATTCTTTAACTTTCTTAGGTTCCTGTTCAAATGCTACATTATCTATTTTCTGACCATCGTATATTCAGTAGTAACACTGCGGCCACCTTCCTGCCCCATCCCCAGCCTGCTTAACTGCGTCGTCTGTTCTATGGCTACTCTCAAAGAAGGCCAGTACCATGCGAACAGACACCTTCTCTGATTTGTAACTCCTGAGGCCAGGGGCCCGTCGTTCCATTCCTAATCCCATTTCGTCGGCAAACTTTATTACAACCGCACTTTGGCAAGCAGCAAGTGGAGACGCGCACTCTGATAAATCCCCTTTTCTTGCCTAAAAGATGTACATGTCGGAGTGCACAACACCCTCCACTCAGCCCCTCGGGCGCCCCGCGCAGCTGTCTCACATTCTCCCCGGATGACCTCAGCCACGCAGGCCGCCTTGGCGGGGCACATCCTTCTTCACCGCTGATGGCAACGGGGCGGGGGCTGCCAAGACCTAGGACGCTTTCCCTTCGCGTTCCTCTAGTTTGACTTTAGGCTCAAAGAATTCAAAACAAAAGGCTGGCCAGTTCTTTAAGTTCACTGTTTTTTTTTCCCCTGGAGTTTTATCCTATATTCTCAACACCAGGCCTAATCGCGGCAAAGAAGGTGTAAGAGCTTTCCTTTGTTGCTTCGCTCTATCTGGGTCAACCTAACTCTGAGGTAGGGTAGTATCTAAGAGGAAGTCCTTTTTTTTAAAAGAGAGAGAGAGAGAGAGACCCAGTGAGAGAGAGAGAGAGAGAGAGAGAGAGAGAGAGAGAGAGACCCAGTCTAATGACTTTCGGGATTTCTATGGAGAAATGTTGGCCGCCTCCAGACTTTCAGACATTGCCGCTACCCAGTAGAGGTGGGGAAAAGTTAGATGCTAAGTTTTGACATATTCTTGCAAAAGTGACAACTGCTTAAAAATTTCAACAGATGTCAGTTAGACACTAAGTTTACCTTAAATGTTACTTTGTAAGATGGTGAACCCAGATCCTCCCGCCACCACCTCCCAAACACACAAAGGAAAAGCAGAGCAGCTCCTTCTTGGCCGGTGAGTGGCTCTGAAAAGAGCCTTTGGGTGTGAAGGGGCCCGATGAGTCTCTCCGCGGAGGGCTCACTTGGCGCTGGTGTACTTGGTGACGGCCTTGGTGCCCTCGGACACGGCGTGCTTGGCCAGCTCGCCGGGCAGCAGCAGGCGCACGGCCGTCTGGATCTCCCGCGACGTGATGGTCGAGCGCTTGTTGTAGTGCGCCAGGCGCGACGCCTCGCCCGCGATGCGCTCGAAGATGTCGTTGACGAACGAATTCATGATGCCCATGGCCTTGGACGAGATGCCCGTGTCCGGGTGCACCTGCTTCAGCACCTTGTACACGTACACCGAGTAGCTCTCCTTGCGGCTGCGCTTGCGCTTCTTGCCGTCCTTCTTCTGCGCCTTGGTCACCGCCTTCTTGGAGCCCTTCTTCGGGGCGGGCGCGGACTTGGCGGGCTCGGGCATGGTCGGCAGGAAAGGCCACAGACGCTGAGGAACGGCGAGCAGGAGGCTGCGGGTGTGCTCCTCCCGGGTCACAGCCTCTTAAAGGAGGCGGGGAGTAAAGTCCTGCCTGACTGGCGGTAACTCGTGGGAACGTCACACGAATGTTGCCCAGTCAGGACAAGCGTATTTCAGAGCGAGGATTCCCATTGGTTTAGGCGAAAGCGCTGTAACTTTTCGCCAATGGCACTGGTTCTTCTTTCGAGCCCTGGAACGACTATAAACAGGGCAGCTTCGGGCGCCACAACTCCCACTCAAGTCGGAGCCAAAGTTTTCTGTGCATCATGTCGGGGCGCGGGAAGCAGGGCGGCAAGGCGCGCGCCAAGGCCAAGACGCGCTCGTCGCGGGCCGGCCTCCAGTTCCCGGTGGGGCGCGTGCACCGCCTGCTGCGCAAGGGCAACTACGCCGAGCGCGTCGGGGCCGGCGCGCCCGTGTACCTGGCGGCCGTGCTGGAGTACCTGACGGCCGAGATCCTGGAGCTGGCGGGCAACGCGGCCCGCGACAACAAGAAGACGCGCATCATCCCGCGCCACCTGCAGCTGGCCATCCGCAACGACGAGGAGCTCAACAAGCTGCTGGGCAAGGTGACCATCGCGCAGGGCGGCGTCCTGCCCAACATCCAGGCCGTGCTGCTGCCCAAGAAGACCGAGACCCACCACAAGGCCAAGGGCAAGTGAAGTGGAAGATTTGAGTCTTTCTCTACCTTAACCAAAGGCTCTTTTCAGAGCCACCCACGTTCTCACTAAAAAGGGCTTGCTTTTTCCCAGTTGCAGCGGCTACTTGCTAACAACCCTTACTGTAATACCTCAATGAACCAATAGATGTCAGTGCGGCCACTCCTGGAAACGTGAAAGTGAACCACAAAAGTTAATAGCATAGTAAAACGGGTGGGGATGCTTTGCAAAGTAGGCAATTTATGGTTATCAATGCTGCAGACCCTCAGGGTTGAACCAGGAGAAAAACATGAGAAGAACAATAGGTTACAAGCAAAGATTTAAGTGCAATTTTAGTGACCGGGCAATAATACCACTTGTCTTAGTCTCCAATTCTGCTGGGCCCTAGTCGATTGTAAAACGGAAAACTACTCCATGCCCTCGAGTTATGTCCTTTAGGCAGAATTCAGTGCACGTTCATAAACGACGCAAGGGCACACTGAATTTATTTGTACCATTTACACGTTTAGGATGTTTTGCTCACCAAATCTCAGTTGAAATCGTAAGACTAGTGGAATGCTTTATATTAGAATGCTAGTTAGTGAAAAAGTAAACATTAAGTGTGACATTGAGTTAGATATATAGAAAAGGTCTATAAAACATTGTAAAATTCTCTAAGTAGAGAAACCAAGATGTTAACGTGAAATTAGCCTTCTTAAATTTGAATGAGACAAAAAAATCCCTTAGCCAATCCCATCCAGCGCGCGCCTTTTCAAAAGGATCAAATGAAAACCAGTTTCCGGTGCCAAAATTTAAAAAGTTCTTTTCGCAAACAAGGTGTTTCATTGTAATATTTACTTTCAATTCCGCGGGGAAAGGTCCAAAAACGCTGTAAAGAAAAGGCGGAAAGTCGGTACAGTGGAGATAAGGGTAGAACACAGCCGCTGTTGAAGGCGCTGGCGGTGGAAGTAGTTTCTAGCATGAAGGTCCCGGAGGCTCCCGCTGTCGGAAAGCAGGTGTCGCCTCCAATAACTTCACTGCGAGGCTTGATGGGCAGACGCCCGGTCCAATCAGGGCGGGACTCGCCTTATATAAACCGGTGGAGGGGGCCCCTCGCGCTTCTGCCCCACCTGGGTGTGTCGGAGTGCGCAGGATGGCTCGCACCAAGCAGACGGCGCGCAAGTCGACGGGCGGCAAGGCGCCGCGCAAGCAGCTGGCCACCAAGGCGGCCCGCAAGAGCGCGCCGGCCACGGGCGGCGTGAAGAAGCCGCACCGCTACCGGCCCGGCACGGTGGCGCTGCGCGAGATCCGGCGCTACCAGAAGTCGACCGAGCTGCTGATCCGCAAGCTGCCGTTCCAGCGGCTGGTGCGCGAGATCGCGCAGGACTTCAAGACGGACCTGCGCTTCCAGAGCTCGGCCGTCATGGCGCTGCAGGAGGCGTGCGAGGCGTACCTGGTGGGCCTGTTCGAGGACACCAACCTGTGCGCCATCCACGCCAAGCGCGTCACCATCATGCCCAAGGACATCCAGCTGGCGCGCCGCATCCGCGGGGAGCGGGCGTAAACTGTCTGCACGTCTTGATTTTGAACCCAAAGGCTCTTTTCAGAGCCACTTCTGTTCTCGTAAGAGTGGCTGTTGTACTTAGGTGTTGAAAACACTTAACATTCGTAGAAGGAACAAACGGCGGGCTCTGGTGAGTTCCTTCGAATAGTGGGGACCTCATTTTCCTCAAGTGTCAGCAAGGTCTCGTGTGGAGTGTGTATTGTAGTTACTGGAGAGAAACTTGAAAGCAACAGATATGTGGATATAAAGTGACTGGTTGGACCCTAAAATTATCCACAGGTAAGGAACAAAGAAGGGACCCGTCCGCATGGAATAACCGCCCACCACGTAGGGACGGGGTTCAGTGCATAGATAACCGGGACCTCTTTTCCCCACTTGTTAATCTGACAGCATAGCTCTGCTTACGTGTCCCGTGGCATCTTCACCGCACAAACAAGGGCACCTTGCACACTGACTTATTTGAACTCCCCCGGTCTCGTGGGAGAACGTATGTAGACTTAAGTGGGGTAATGCTGGTATTGTGCTTAACATTTAGCATTAGTGTTAGCAGACCTCAGGTTTTCCTACTGATAATTGCTCTGTCACGAACCCATAAAACAGAAAAAGACAAATTTGAAACTAGCTCCCTCAGGAAAATGCGTTAGTGTTCAGACAGATTTTCTTTTGTTGAGAATTGCGTTTTTCATTGTTTAGTAGTAGCTCCTGATAATCCTATAGGATAAAGCTCCTAAATGTTTTCTTCACATCCATTCTAAATTTGATATAAAATTAGCAAATGAGCCGCCTGGCTTTTGTTTGCCAGCTTTCAGTGTCCCGGTAGTGCAGGCCTGTGGGAGCAGCAGTTCCCAGGGATTCAACCCAACTCAAAGGCTCTTCTAACATCCACCCACGTGCACACCAAGTAGGACTGTTTCCGCGTAACTGGTACTTGCAGTTTTCTAAATGCCTAAAACTACGTTCAATTACTCGAATCGTAATGGTCTAGATTCTCCACCAGGAGTTGGGCCTGGCAGTTCCTTACAAGTGCTTTTCATCAGTTTTCTTGACAGGCAAGCACCTCAATTTACACTTCCTGTCAACTTGTGTACAACTGGTGTCCCTGGCCCTTCCTCCCTATTACATACAGAAAAGGACAGAACACTTGACTCACCTACACATTCAAGACTTTACCTGACAAATTGGCTTATGTACTCTGTGTCATCACAGATTTGTACAACGAATGGGAAGTCGTCCTTTACAGTCTTAATACTTTTTTAAAAAATTAGATAAGATCACTACTGCAAACATTAAACTGCTCACCATCATGTGCATCACCTTCCGGTACATGGGAAGGGCGACCTGTGATTACCATACACAGATTTTACATTGATGATAATATTTTACCAAATTTAAATCTATTTGAATCAACACCTCTACCAAAATAAAGTGCTGAGTATCTTCTCTCCAGAATCAGCTTTCCTCTAAGAAAGAAAAAAAGTATTTTTGAGGGGAGAACGGCCCTTTGACGTCACCCTCCCACTCTGCCAGCTGATTCAGCAATTTCCATAGAGATTGGAATTCATGAGTGTGCATGCAGTGCCTTCTTCTGAGCCGGGAAAGTAAGCTAGGAGGCGGTCAGGGAGGACCCACGAGAGATGGCCTGTCTACTCTGATCTGTACTCTTACTGACTGGGAAGGACACCTGCTCCTGGAAACTAATGTAATTATCCAAATTCATCTTTCAGTTTTCATTATATGAAGAGTTTATTCAGGGGCAGTGAGTAGTTCTAGTTATGTGGACATTTCTAATAACGTGGATGTGGACACACCATGTCTCTCAGGACTCTGTTGAACAGCGATGGCCTGGTAATTGTGCTTCCATCGCCCCATGCAAGGAACTGGGTTTCACTCTAGGAATGGCAGGCACACGGAAATAAATGTTCAGCAACACCAGGCCGTCTGGATCATGATAATGGGCAGATGGTGATCCAAGTACTAAGTTTAAGAAGAGGTCACAGGGGAAGTGGTGAGAACGATCCGTCTGGGCTGTTCATTTTGTTTCCTGGAGGTCAGCAAGAGTTTCAGAAACTTGTAGGTGAATGTGAATGTCTGAGTTCAGGAGACAGCCTGGATGGGTCAAGATTTGCAAGTCACTGTGCCACGTTGGCAGCACATGTACTAAACCACTGATACGGAGATCAGCATGGCTCCTGTGCAAGGAAGACACCCTAATGCACGACCTGGTCCATATTTTTTTAAAGTATTATGCCCAGTGAACTAAGCCAGTCAGAGAAAGAAAAATACCATACGATTTTACTTATGTGTGGAATCTAATGAACAAAATATACTAAAAAATAGAAGCAGACTCAGGTATGAAGAACACACTGACAGCTGTCAGAGGGCAGAAGGTTGGGGAGATGAATGAAATAGGTGAAGGGGATAAAATTAAAAGATTTTGGTGTCATTAGTATATAAAAATAGTCAAAGCCAAGGAGTGGCCCGCTGATCCCTTTCAGCTTCTCCCTGCCTCTTTTAACCTCTGCTTTCATGCCAAGATCCATCTTGCATTTGCTGCGCACGTTCATGCTCAGTCTGTACTGGAATTCCTATGCTTTCCAGTTTCCTCCAGTCCTCAGACCAGATGTTACCTCTCACACAGCTGACTCCTTCTCTATGCTCCGCTAATGTCCCATGTCCACACTTTTTGCTACATTGGGCTGCACTTGCTGTGTGTTACCCCCGGTTAGACTGTTTCTTTAAAACAATCAGTGTCTCATTAACATATTCCTAACACTTGGTACCTTAGTGTGAAATAAATACTTGTGAAAGCATCAATACATTATAATAAAAAACAGAAAAACGTCACTCTGCTTGACATGGGAGACTGGTACGTGGCAAAAATATTCCAATCCATCCCAAGGCCCAGAATAAAAGGGCTTCGCCATATGCCGGCACAGACATGAGAAACGTGCCGGAGTCTTTGAGCCCTCTACTCTCAAAGCAGCCTCAGGGTTTTTCAAGTTTATTTCTTCAAACTGCAAGTCTCCATCAGTGCTCTTGAAATCCACTCGGGAGCACCTACTATGATCATGGCTACATACAACACATGGACATCAAGGAAGGCCACTGTGGTAATAAACATACTGTCAGATAGTATGAATTAGTAAGTATAGTCAAGCGGTCAGAAACATTCAAAACAATTACTTGCAAAATAGTTAAAAGACCTGCGACCTTCCTGCTGACAATAGTGGGTGTCTGTGGAAACCACCTGTTATGTGCTCCAACAGATACTTGCAACTGATGAACTTGTCATTTAGGTCAATAGCTAGTTTTCAAAAATATACGTGTGACCTTCTTGAGTCAAACTGTTTTCTGGGTTCAGCATGACCTTGACACTACGACCTAAGTGGAACAAATATAACATGGGAACTTCTCTTGTTTGCAAAGCCTCCTAAAGGACAGATCTGGAATTAGAGGCAGCAAAAATGAGGTCTCACTAGGAATATAAACAGTGTTGTGTCAGAAGTTTAATAAGAAAAAGGGACTAGATTCTAGAAATGCAAAATTCGTGCTATCTTCTCAGTGATTATAAAAGTGGCTCTGAAAAGAGCCTTTTGTTTACTCGTTTACCATACTTGCTGCTTACTTGGCCTTGTGGTGGGTCTCGGTCTTCTTGGGCAGCAGCACGGCCTGGATGTTGGGCAGGACGCCGCCCTGCGCGATGGTCACCTTGCCCAGCAACTTGTTGAGCTCCTCGTCGTTGCGGATGGCCAGCTGCAGGTGGCGCGGGATGATGCGCGTCTTCTTGTTGTCGCGGGCCGCGTTGCCCGCCAGCTCCAGGATCTCGGCCGTCAGGTACTCCAGCACGGCCGCCAGGTACACGGGCGCGCCGGCCCCCACGCGCTCGGCGTAGTTGCCCTTGCGCAGCAGGCGGTGCACGCGCCCCACCGGGAACTGGAGGCCGGCCCGCGACGAGCGCGTCTTGGCCTTGGCGCGCGCCTTGCCGCCCTGCTTCCCGCGCCCCGACATGATGCACAGAAAACTTTGGCGCCGACTTGAGTGGGAGTTGTGGCGCCCGAAGCTGCCCTGTTTATAGTCGTTCCAGGGCTCGAAAGAAGAACCAGTGCCATTGGCGAAAAGTTACAGCGCTTTCGCCTAAACCAATGGGAATCCTCGCTCTGAAATACGCTTGTCCTGACTGGGCAACATTCGTGTGACGTTCCCACGAGTTACCGCCAGTCAGGCAGGACTTTACTCCCCGCCTCCTTTAAGAGGCTGTGACCCGGGAGGAGGACACCCGCAGCCTCCTGCTCGCCGTTCCTCAGCGTCTGTGGCCTTTCCTGCCGACCATGCCCGAGCCCGCCAAGTCCGCGCCCGCCCCGAAGAAGGGCTCCAAGAAGGCGGTGACCAAGGCGCAGAAGAAGGACGGCAAGAAGCGCAAGCGCAGCCGCAAGGAGAGCTACTCGGTGTACGTGTACAAGGTGCTGAAGCAGGTGCACCCGGACACGGGCATCTCGTCCAAGGCCATGGGCATCATGAACTCGTTCGTCAACGACATCTTCGAGCGCATCGCGGGCGAGGCGTCGCGCCTGGCGCACTACAACAAGCGCTCGACCATCACGTCGCGGGAGATCCAGACGGCCGTGCGCCTGCTGCTGCCCGGCGAGCTGGCCAAGCACGCCGTGTCCGAGGGCACCAAGGCCGTCACCAAGTACACCAGCGCCAAGTGAGCCCTCCGCGGAGAGACTCATCAGGCCCCTTCACACCCAAAGGCTCTTTTCAGAGCCACACATGTGTTCCCTGAGAGAACTGGCACTCGATTTTGCATAAAAGGTAGGGAAGACAGTTTTCAATCTGAAAACTTTGGAAAATGCTTCTTAAATTGTGCAAAAGTCCCTTTTGGTATTTATGGTTAAGAATGGTAACAGGTCAAGAAACGTAAAACACCGGAAATTTTTTTAGTTTATGCTTAAACTTAACATTCATGCTCAATTTGCTGCTGAGAATCCCCCTCTGAGGAAATTCGTGAGTAACTAGAAAATTCAGGGTGCTTTAGGGTGAAATTATTAACCAACTCCTAGTGTGAATCATTGGCAGAACGAGAACTTCCTGTACAGGGTACAGTGCCACCTGACTCCTCCCTCTTTCTGATTATCGCATAAATGGATTTAAAGGAAACCCCAGTTCGCGTTCCCTTCGCTTATTATTTTGTAACACCTCTGGTATGTGCCTTATGGCCACTTGTCACTAGGCTTACATTTGCACACAATAACCTAGTGGTATTGGGATAAAGAGGGTGAAGAGGTAACTTAAGAATGAAACAAGTCACCCCTTTTCACCAGTTCGGAATGGGCAGTTTCCTCTTCTCTGTGCACGTGTCCCGACCGGGGCAGGGGCACCGCCATCCCACACCCCACCCGCGTCGCCTTCCTCCTGAAGTTACGGGGAGCAGCGATCTCCTCCTGCTTCATTCATGTCCTTCACTCATGTTTTAATGTTTTACCTCCTTCCAGGATGGTGTTCGTGTTCACTGCAATTTTAACACTGTCAAAAGTTTTCTTGGGGAAAATGTTCAGAATGTAGGCCAGCTCCACATTTCATCTCACTTTTAATCCCTTTCCCCCTTCGCTGTAAGGGAGAAATTCTAAATGAAAGGGCAACCTTTTTGACTGGTGAAGGGGAGGCGGGCAGGCCTTTTCTCCGGGAGCGAAGCGCAGCCTCCCGGTGCAAAGGCTGGCGTTTCAGGGCCGGCCCGGACGTGTCAGGGGTCCGTGCGCAAACACACGTCCCTGCCGTTCGACAGACTATTAGATAAGATTTTAAATGCCGATATCTTTACTGTATTTCTAGCTATTGCTCAGTCTTTTCTATGAAACGGCAGGAGGGCTTAGGATTGTGGGAACAAAAAAAAAAGCACAAAATTTGCGCTCAATTTATGAGGTCAGGGAGCGAAAACAGTTCTGTTAAGGCGGTGGCTGTTTCCTTGGCCTGGAGGAGGAGGAGGCTGGGAACACGCGCAGAATTTTCATAGAACTTAATGTTAGTCCATTTCTTTACGATATCAGTCGACACTGCATAGAAAGCTGGCACTGTACGAAGCAGCACAACGGTTTGATCATTTCCTAAAACTGTTCTGCGTTACCTGTACAATGTAATGACGAAATGGCTGCTTTCACTCGGCCAGTTTTATGTCCCTCCCCCACCCCCGCCCAGTCTCTCACTCTTGCATCCAGTGATTCTTAGCTTTAATCATGCATCAGAATTTAATCATGCTGGTGGAATTTTGAAAAAAAAGTATCACTACCTCCTCCCAACCCCAGAGATTCTGATTTAATTGATCAGAGGAGCATCTGGGCATCAGGGACATTTGAAATCCCCCAAGCGGTGCTGGTGTCTGGGAGGGCTGATCTGTGGGAAGCAGCCTCGGAAGCACCCAGCAACACACCTCGTGCCCTCGACTCCCTCGCAGAGCCCTCCTCCTACGCTGCCCAGGGCTGGTCGCCAGGAAGGGTGTGGCCGAAGCGATGGCAGGTCGCTTCCAAGGTTAGATGAGAGATTCCCATAGGCCGGCCCTCGGCATGAGTGGTCCTTCAGGCACTCAAACAGTGAGGGACTGAGGCCTGCAGGCAATAGCGCTATAAGGAAACCTCTCCTTGGACCTTGGAAGCTCCAGTCCCCCTGAAGCCTTGAGAGGACGAGAGTCCGTGACTGCAGCCTCCGAGGACCCTGCCCCAGAGCCACCCAGCCAAGCTGCTCCCAGGTTCCTGACCCTCAGAATCTGTGAGGTAATAAATGTTTCGTCTCTTAAACTGCTGGATTTTGGAGTAATGTGTCACACAACATATTTAGTTGATAATATAACAACTAAAATCTTGACAAGCTTTTCTTTCAAGATTTTATCTTGTTATACCTCTTTCAAGAAATTTTCCCAGATTGTCATATTCCAGATTAATATCTACTCCAAATTGCTACAACTAACAGTAAATTAATATCATATAATTAACTATATTAGATATCGATTTATAATATATATTTTAATATTTAATTATATACATTTAACGGGCATAGATAATTTATATAGAAATATAACAATTGTATTATTCTGCCATATCTGTTTTATGAGGTTGCATGTATTATTTTATTCAATGTTGCTCAAATCTCAGTCATTTTAGTTCTACTTACACAATTCTATTCTTTTTGCTGTATCTAGATATACTCTAAATTGTTATTTACTTAACTGTTTTCTTTATAAGCTAATAGTTTAAAGATTTTATTTATTTTTAGTTATTTATGTGTGAAACGGGAAGGGAGGGAGAAAGAGGGAGAGAACTATCAGTGTGTGGTTGCTTCTCACGCGTCTGCCACTGTGGACGTCGTGGGCAGCCCACGCGTGTCCCCTGACTGGGAACTGAACCGGCGAGCCCTTGGTCCTCAGGGTGGCCCTCAATCCACTGAACCACAGCAGCCAGGGCTTTCTTTATAAAATAATATTTTAAAAGACAACTTTACATCACTACCTAGTGAAAATTTCTACGTCTGACCATGGACAGAGAGTAACTGTGGAACAATATTTTTTAAAAACATTATTCAGTTCCAGTGATATTCTATTTACTGTCTCTTACCTTGAGCTTGAGACCTGTTCTTTGTTATGAAGTTGAAGAGGGACAGGGTGGGCGTCCGTGGGTATTTAATGGCCTGCTCGTGTCTAATTGCCACTGTACCAGTTACTTAAACAGAAAGGTTCAAGGGGCATAGAAAAGAGAATGACACCTTCACTCTCTATTTCAGCATTTTAAACACCAAACTTTACATACTATGCACCGTAATTTCCTGGGCTCTCTTCATGGTGCTTGGTATAGATCTAGGAAAATGTTGGTTTAATTAATGTATTATTTTGTTGAACCACTGTGATATGTCTGTCAGAAGATATAAATATATATAACTCAAGAAACTCACATTGTGGCAAAACATTTATAGTCATACTTCTCAAAATTTTTTAATAATTACTTACTCTGTTGAAAGAAAAAAACATCTGTGTATACACTGTTCATCATAATTTTAACCTGTGTACCTCATCCAGGACCCAAGAACATGCTTGGAATCTGTGTACCTCACCTCATAATGTCCTAAGAAAAAAGTGGGACCTTGTCGTTGTCTCTATTTTGCAGATCATTAAGAGAGTGACAGGCTCACTGAAGTGCCCACAACACCCAGCCACAAGCTCAGAGCAGAACATCAGTCTCCTCAGGTGACATAACATGCAGAAAGCTGCCCTAAACTTAGGATCAAATTTTCTCATCTATTTCTATGCTCCAATCTTTGTTTCTGTTCTATAAATTGTTGTTCATGTAAAAAAAAATTGACAAAAATTATTTGGGGGTAAATTATGTGAATTATTGGAGCTATCAGTTACAAATTGCAGTGAAAAACAGTAAGTAGCATCCTGTTTGGGGATCAGCTGAAATCAGTTCCCAAGGCTGAGCAGCAATGCCATAAATTAATCTAGATTATTGAGTTTATTTTAATTTTTTCCCTTTATTATAGGAATGTTTACTTTCTAAATACTGGAGTGAAAGGGGCGTCATATGTGAACCTTGTCTAGAGGGGCCAAAACGCCTCCTGCACGTCCGCTCATTCTGCAGGTTCTGGCCGCCCTCTGCCATATCCTCCTAGACATCTGCCCTCCTGACAGTTCAGTGCCTTTCAGGGCATCCCTGATATGAAGCACACATATGTACACATTCGCCAGGCCCCGGACATATGTGTTTAGGTAACTTGATCCCTCTGCACCTGTTCCCATTTCCTCTCCTAGATGTTATCTGCTGTTTCCCTCATTTTGAAAAACAAACCACCACCAGAATTGGCTGCTTATTTTCGGTGTCCGTGCACTGCTGGGCAGGATCAAAGGCACGTATGCTTTGAAAAGTAATGATTTAAAAATCCCACGTGTACTGGTGAATTTACTACCTTCAAATATCTTGAGGGAGAGATGTGGAAGGAGAGAAGACAGATTTTAAAAAGTGTAATTTCTCTTCTAAAAGAATAGAGGGAGGGGTAGACACGCACTGTTCCTTAAACACATAAAATTGTAGAACACAAATGTGCGTGTGTATACAAACACATACATGTCCGCCGCATAGAACTGTCAAAGGTTTTGTGAGAAGCTGAGTAAACGGAGTTTACAAGAGCTGGAGACGATGGGATGCTGAGTAATTGTAGCCAAAATCTCAAGTTTTCAGAATCTTTTGCTGGCCTCTGTCAGTCTTTTTTTCCCTAGTCTCTAGAAGAAGGTAATACTACCTAGAGGGATGCCAGTAACTTTGGAGTTGTCATAAGATTTCCTCACGACGACATAGATGATGCTTGAAACATATTACATACAACTTCCATGTATGTCGGAGCCTTTCACCGCCCCCTTGCCCTCCCTGTATCACATAAGTGTCCGCTGCCACAGCCTTAAAACATCTATTAATGAAGCTACCTCTTAAAATTTTTAAAAATCACACACATGTGCTTCTTTGTGTGCTTAAATGATATGAATTTGGTTTTATTTTCAAGCGTTATAAAAAGGTACCACATGTAAACCTGAGATTTGTTTCTAAAATTCAATTGTGTGTGTATTTCAGTCATTTTCTCTGCTATATGCTATCCTGAAGTATAAATGCACCTCAATAAATGTATTTATTCCTTTGACCATGAACGTGTGCTTTCTTCTAGTACTTTGCTATTAAAAACAGCACTGCTCTGTTGCATGTCTCCAGTTACAAGTGTGCAGAATATATTCACATAAACTTCTGGGAGTAACATTTCTGAGCCACTGGAGTAAGATAATTAAACACAGGGCATCATCAACAACTTTCAGAAAATATCCTGATGCGGAAGCCTTTCCACACTGCTCCTGGGCAAAGAGCAAACTACGGCTAAGCACCTAGGCCATCCCTGAGGGCTTAGAACGGAGAGATGGGTGCAGGCGCCACGACTGCGGTCCGGTAACGGCCCCTTTGCCCTTTATTTCTCTTTCTCTCTGTGCCGGTGACTGGCAGCCGCCACAGCCACAGGCACAGCTCCAGGGCAGGGGTTCGACCAAGGGCTTTCTTTCAAGACCAACTATCAAATCCTGGCCCCACTGCCTTTTCTTTTTCTTTTTGCTCTATTTTCTAATTTTTAAACATTTCTTCCAATTAGTAGAGAAACAGTGCATGAAAGACTAGCAGAGTAAAAGAATAAACAAAACAGCAGGTTTCACAAGAAAAATAGGGAATAAACCTAATTACTCCCATAAAGAGTACTTTCACCCAGAAATCTGAGAAAATGGTTAAAAGGGCAGTCCCTCCCAGAAAGCCTCACGGCCCAGAATTCTCCGAACAGGACAGAATCCACAGGGAATTTATTTCAACCTGTGCATAGACCTGTGGTTTATTTCAAACTACAGGTGCAGTGTGTGTATTGGGTATCACTGGTTTATGCGTAAGGTAACTTGAATTGGTTTTTTTTTTTCTCTTGCATTTTCTAATTTACTACTTGGAAAATCAACTCAGGAAAAGGGAAGAACTAACATTTCTCCACCTTACTCCCCAACCCCCAAGACAAAACATGAATAAGACAATTTGCTTATACTTAGTGCTTATCAAGCTCTATTTTTATTAGTAAGTTACTCATTAAATCAAGGATAGAGGACTTGAAAACAGTATGAATACACCAGTACCCAGATTGACATTTTTTAAAGATGATTTAACTGTTTTGAGACAAAGGGTACTTTTCTTTATTGTACTTGTCTGATAATGAACTTCACACTTGTTGACTCAAGACACATGAAAAACGCATTGAAGGGGGCCACAGCATGCACTACACTGCAGTGGGAGTATTAGTCACAGGATCAAAAAATGAAACTGGGGAGCTTTTTTTGCAGCAAATATACATTTCCCCATTAGTGAAAAGTGAGTAACAGTTCTTTTTTATAAAGACTTAAGTGGCTCTGAAAAGAGCCTTTGGGGTTTAGAAGGCCAAGCGGCTTCTTGCGGGTCTACTTGGAGCTGGTGTACTTGGTGACGGCCTTGGTGCCCTCGGACACGGCGTGCTTGGCCAGCTCGCCGGGCAGCAGCAGGCGCACGGCCGTCTGGATCTCCCGCGACGTGATGGTCGAGCGCTTGTTGTAGTGCGCCAGGCGCGACGCCTCGCCCGCGATGCGCTCGAAGATGTCGTTGACGAACGAGTTCATGATGCCCATGGCCTTGGACGAGATGCCCGTGTCCGGGTGCACCTGCTTCAGCACCTTGTACACGTACACCGAGTAGCTCTCCTTGCGGCTGCGCTTGCGCTTCTTGCCGTCCTTCTTCTGCGCCTTGGTCACCGCCTTCTTGGAGCCCTTCTTCGGGGCGGGCGCGGACTTGGCGGGCTCGGGCATGGTAGACAAAACAAAAAAAGGAAACTCAGCAGCACAGAGAAACTGACAGTACAGGTTGACGTGTCCTATTTATATAAAACTTCGCATGCAAAGAAGGTGTTATACAGCATGGTCTGATTGGTAACTTCGGAATATCAGTCCTGTCCAATGAGAATGCAGGATGCCAGGACTTACATTTCATTGGTTAAAATGAAACAAATAATAGCTAAAAACTGCTATAAAAAGTGAGCCCCCTGAACTTTCATTTCTATGGCTACTTACACTGAAGGGTCAAGATTCGGAATGTCTGGACGCGGGAAGCAGGGCGGCAAGGCGCACGCCAAAGCCAAGACCCACTCGCCGCGGGCCGAGTTGCAGTTCCCGGTGGGGCTGGTGCATTCCACGCTGCGCGAGAGCAACTACGCCGAACGGGTCATGGCCGGGGCGCCTGTGTACCTAGCCGCCGTGCTCTAGTACCTGGCGGCCGCTATCTTGGAGCTGGACAACGCTACGCGCGAGAAAGCACCTGCAGCTAGCCATCCGCAACAACGAGGGGCTCGCAGTCTATTGGGCAAGCTGACCATCGTGCAGCGCGGCGTCCTGCCCAACATCCAGGCTGCGCTGTTCGGTAAATAAAGGTTTAAGTAGCAAAGTTCAAACCCAATGGTTCTTTTTAGAGCCACCTAAATACTTTAAGAAGAGCTGGGAGTCCCATATTTTTAACCTGGTGACAGTGTTTTTCCTACAGGGGAAGAGAGAAGGCAATGAATGAAACAGTGAATATGTAGCTTCACAGTCGTGTCACCAGCACTGGGGAAAGCATGGGAGTTGTACCGGAGATCCTAGGTTCGCAGGCAGGTGTGTTCAATCCCTAAATTACCAGACAGGGCAAATGGGTGTAATGCCAGACTTCCTGTTAGTCCACTTTGGGTCTCACCGTGTTTATACCACTATCAGCAGTCAGGAGAAACAGCAAAAGGATGGACTTCGCTGCATGGCATACTCAATCAACCACGTACTAGTGGGTAGGTAAAGTGTTGGAGTGTACAGCTGTTTCCAGAGATATCTGGGTGGCTCTGAAAAGAGCCTTTGGGTTTTGATGCCTTTTAAAAGGCATGCCTCCTACTTCTTTTTCGGAGCCGCCTTCTTGGCCTTCGCCGCCTTCGGCTTGGCCGCCTTAGGTTTAGCAGCTTTGGGCTTAGCTGCCTTAGGCTTCACAGCCTTGGGCTTGGCGGGACTCTTGGCTGCCTTTTTGGGCTTCGCGGCGGTCTTAGTTTTCTTGGGGCTCTTGGCCACCTTCTTAACGCTTGTAGCCGCGGGCTTCTTCGCTTTCTTGGGAGTCTTCTTGACGGGTTTCTTGGCCCCTGCAGCCTTCTTGGGCTTCTTGGGGGTGGATCCTGCGGGCTTCCGGGGCTTGGTCGCGCCCGCCTTCTTACCCTTGGGCTTTGCCTCGCCAGAAGCCGCCTTTTTGTTGAGCTTGAAAGAACCCGAGGCGCCGGTGCCCTTGGTCTGCACGAGGGTGCCCTTGCTTACCAAGCTCTTGAGGCCCAACTTGATGCGGCTGTTGTTCTTGTCCACGTCGTAGCCCGCGGCCGCCAGCGCTTTCTTGAGCGCGGCCAGGGATAGGCCATTGCGCTCTTTAGAAGCGGCCACGGCCTTGGTGATGAGCTCCGACACCGGAGGCCCGGACGCTTTGCGTTTCGCCGCGCCCCCGCTCGCTGCCTTCTTGGCCGCCTTCTTCTTCGCCGGAGACTTCTCCACCGGCGCCGGGGCGGCGGTCTCAGCAGGAGCGGTTTCCGACATGACGATTGGAGGAACTGCTAGAGGAGGAGGAGGAGAGACTCAAAATCCAAAGCGCGGGTTTGCAGTGCTGCCTCTCTCCGCCCGGGCTTATATAAGCCGCGGCTGCGCTGTGATTGGTGGCGCGTCCTATCCACCGCCCTCGGGCGGCCGCCTTTAGCGGTTGGACTTCCAAATTGTCTTTCCGTGTTTCTTAATCCCCCAAATCGGATTAAATGCTGAAAATAGTAGGACACAATGTGATGCTCTGAAGCTCCAAAGTAGGAAAGCAGTCCCCACAGGCACTTCCTTGTTTGTGTTTTTATGAATCACGTGCAACTGGTGAAAGATATTTTTTAAAATCTCCGGTTTTCCGTAGAAATCCACCTGGTTTAGGGCATCGTGCTACTTAGTTGCATGTGACAAATTTCTACTAGATATCAAGTGAAATTAAAAAAAGAAAAAGCTGTGTCCCTAAATTTGGCCTTTGGCTTTTGCAAGAAGAAAGACACTAGTGTGATTGGTATGTCATAACCTGTGTTTCTAACTATAGCAAGTCACACAGGCTCAGGGAAACTGGTTGCCTTCAGTCCTCCATGAACCTCATGGACCTGATTTTTAAAACTGGTTCAGCTTCCTAGGGGGTTCTATGCACCTATGTCTTTAGAAGCAGGTATTTTGCATCTTGGAAAAGATCATTTGCAGCAGGGAGAATAGAAATTACTTTGGAGACACGATCCAAAAACCTAGATTCAAATTAAACCTTAAGTTCGGTATAGTTGATTGACATGCATTCTATCCTTAGTTCCTATTGAGATCTATTAAAATGGGGATAGAAAATGTTTAGCCCAGATAATGTTTTAGAGAAAACTCTGGAATCTGCTAAAAAAAATCTTCCAGGGCTCCCAGTAGCTGTCAAGAGCAGAAACGGGACTCTGTCTGTTTCCAAGGTACTTGTCCCGTCCATCACGAGAACTTCTCATGTCCATCAACATTAGCACATTGGGCCATCGGCAGCACCCTCGTTTGAAAGCAGACGGGAGACATCAAGGTGGGTATTGTGTTTCAGCAACGATAGGCCTGCATTTTACAGAAACACTTGGCTGCTGTCTATGAGAAGGGTGGGTTGGAAATTTCCTGAACTCAGAAGAATTCAGGAAAACATTAAACACCAATGAAACCGAGGCAATGATCGTGAGTTTGAAATGGAGGATGGAGACGCTTGCTATTGGCTTGGAAAGAATATAGGGTGGGGAATGGACAGGAATTTTTGCCTGACCTGGATGATAAGGGAGATCAAATGACAACTGCGGCCTCCGATGCAATCCACAGTGAGTCCTGTTCTCTGTGAAATACTTCGCAGTGAAATAGCCAACACACTTCACTCAAGGGCGTCCTGAAGTTGAAACTATAATAGCCAAGGATGGCCATATCTGGACAGTGACCTGTTTTTCTAAGGTCCTCAAGCTAAAAGTGGTTTGGATGTTTTCTGTTAGGAAAATAATGCAACAGAGACCATATGTGGCCAGCAAAACCTAAAATAATTACTATCTGGCCCTTTTGCTGTGTTTTGAACTCATCCACATAGACAACATTGTGGTACATTACTGCAAGCGAGCCTCACTGAGAACAGTGTGAATCACAAAGTAAAGACAAGGAGATCCTAAGAAAATGTTCCAACTGCACACTTCCCACTATTTCAATTACAAATCTTTTAGAAGACCTAGGGGATTGGGAAGCGGACCGCTCCATGCTTTAGGGACAGCAGAGAAGGGAGGTTTAAGAAGAGCCAACATATACTGAGCATTTACTAAGTGGCAGGAGCTAATCTAAGGAAGCAATTAAGATTTTAATTCATTTGCCACATTTTATACCTATACAAACGGAGGCCTGGAGAGAGTCTGCGTAAACTGTCAAAAGTTACACAGCTGATAATTGGTGGCTCGGAGGTTTGAACACAGACCAACTGGGTCTATCGTGATGGGAAAATCCAACAGGGTGTGGAGACAGGAGTCTCCGAAGCTCGGAACAGGAAGTCGTCCCTACACCTGACAGCTACTGACAGAGCTCCGAACTAATTCGTAGGAAAAAGCTTCCGGCCCCATCAAGCAGAATCTTTGCTGAATCAATTCAGTCTTTTCAGAAAGTTAAAGGAGCCAATAGTTGGGACAAACTGGTAAGCCTCTCTCAGTGGGCAAAACTGAAAACAGGGAGTGGCCCAGATGACTGACCTGACTGAAAATTCTCTGGAGGAAAATTGCCTGTGTATAACCCCACTCCCTCCTGGAGTTAGGAGGTGCCCCCCAAACGGTGAGCCCCATTCAGGCGCTGATAGTCTTATAGGAAGAGGACACGAGGGGACTTTACAAAGCTGAGAATAGTGGACAAAATAAACAGCTGAGCTTTGTTTAAAAACCGAATCAGGAGGGGCTACAAGGAACAGCTTTAAAAATAACGTATCAGACGTAACCCCTACTTGGAAAAAGAAATCATGAAACTCCAACAGACTAACAAGCACATGTTTAAAACACTTAGGCCAAGTTCTCGCACCAATCTTCGGGGGTACTGGGACGCAGTTTACAGGTCAACCTGCAGGTCATCTCCCCACCACTCACCAGTCGCACAGGCGAACGGCAGCGTTGCTCAGCACATTGAAACAAGGGCTGGCAAGCTCACAGCAAATACTCCGAGACTAGAAAGCGAAGCAGCGCACCTCTGAAAGGCGCTGAAACTCTTTTGAAAAACTAAGCTGCATCCCAAACGCGTACCCCACAATACCTTGAACTGAACCTCTCAAAATCTTGAGTTTTCCCTCACTTGTAATCGAGTATGTTTAACTCCCAGAAACCACTACTCGAGGGCCTAGGGTAGGGGCAGGTCCGGGAGCGCATTATGGTACAAGCTGCGTTCAGAGGACACAGTCAGCTGGCGGTAGCTAGCACGTCTCACAGCCCACAACTTAGACTTCAAAAGCGTTTTTCCGGAGTTGCCTTATGTTCCCTAGAGGCCTCCCGCTCTTTATCCGTGAGAATTGAGGGGCTCTGAAAAGAGCCTTTAGAGGTGAAGTACAATTGGAGAACACTCAAACTTAAGCCCGCTCCCCGCGGATGCGGCGCGCCAGCTGGATGTCCTTGGGCATGATGGTGACGCGCTTGGCGTGGATGGCGCACAGGTTGGTGTCCTCGAACAGGCCCACCAGGTACGCCTCGCACGCCTCCTGCAGCGCCATGACGGCCGAGCTCTGGAAGCGCAGGTCCGTCTTGAAGTCCTGCGCGATCTCGCGCACCAGCCGCTGGAACGGCAGCTTGCGGATCAGCAGCTCGGTCGACTTCTGGTAGCGCCGGATCTCGCGCAGCGCCACCGTGCCGGGCCGGTAGCGGTGCGGCTTCTTCACGCCGCCCGTGGCCGGCGCGCTCTTGCGGGCCGCCTTGGTGGCCAGCTGCTTGCGCGGCGCTTTGCCGCCCGTCGACTTGCGCGCCGTCTGCTTGGTACGGGCCATAGCTACACACAGACAACCACCTAACACGGAAGAGCAGGATAACCCGCCAACACCGTATTTATAGCGACTCTCGCGCTCTGATTCGACAGGACCTGCTCCTCCCACTCCTTCCACACCGATTCAATTCTAGGTTTAATTCTCAGGAAACATTTTCCCGCCTGTTCGGTCTGTGTGATAGTGTTCAAAGAAAATAGATTACTGGTTTTTAAAAACTCTCTAGGATGCATTAAAAATTCTTAAGAAAATAGGAAAGTTCCTTGCACTGTTTTAACAAAAAAGTGTCAGAATGGGATTCTTGACAATAGTTTGATGAACGTGAAAGGGAAATAAGTTAAACGGAGGGTTGAAGTGGTTTCAACTTCTAGCCACTGTGTGCCGCGTCGGCCTTCTCCAACCTGAGTGTGCTTAATTGCTCGTTTGAAAACGAGGTTCGGCCAACTTTTTCTCTAAAAGGTCGTATCTTGATACTAGCGTGAGCTTTGTGGACATAAGTTTTCAGTAAAGGTATCAGAACAGACGGTGTAGATCTGAGTCACAGACTTTGCCACATTTGTGGGTGACAGACCTACTGGCAGTGGTACAAAAATGCTTCCCAACTGGGGCAAGTTACACAACTTAAGTTTCTAACCAAATTCCCGAAGTTTACATTACCCTAATGCGAGGTAAGTCCTCTGAGAAAGAAAGGATTTTATAAAATGCCTACAGCTCTTCAGTAGATCTTGAGGGACGGCAGAAGGACCATTGCGTAAATGAAAGGGCCGTAGAAGGCGCCCGAGCGCGCAAACAGCGCCCCAGGCGGTGAGTTAGGAGGAGAAGAGGGAGGCGGAGAGGTGGTGGCCCCAGTAGGGGCTTCCCCCTTCACAAACGCAAAGTGAGGCCTTGGGGCTCGGAAGCTAAGACACTCGAGTTAGAACACTGACAAACTCAGAAGTGCCTTACAAACCGGTTACGCTTAAAGTGGCGTCCTAGCTTGAGAATGGAAATCAGCAAGACCCAGCTAGTTCTTTATAAACCCAAGCCACCTAATGGACGGGGCTGGGTGCGAGGGTGGTGACAAAACGCTGCCTCGGAGCCAGGGCAGAGGTGTTGAGAGCAGCTGGGCGGGGGAGAACCGAAAGCGTGGCGAGCTTGACATCGCTCGCAGGTAACGTCAACATTACCAGCCATCGCTTCGCTGGCAGTGCCCCGCTTTAGCTACTGTGGGTTCCTAGAGCTGGTGACTCATTTGTACTAACATTGACTTAAACCTCAACCCGGCCCCGCCCTCTCGGAGGCAGCGGGGCATCCAGGTCTCCGCGCACTGGAAACTGCCTACGCGCCAAACAGGGGTTGTGGCTGTACCGCCCACAGAGGACATGAGGCGTAAGGACTCCTTGCCATCGGCTACTAGTGCTCAGTTATAACTTTCACTTTTACTTCGGGACGTGCCCCGAAAGGACAGAAACGGCGAACAGTTCTTCCTGAGAAATAGGCGGCCCTGAAAAGGGCCTTTGGGGAAATAAATACTAGGATTATGGAAACCGCCGCTTCAGCCGCCGAAGCCGTAGAGGGTGCGGCCCTGGCGCTTGAGCGCGTAGACCACGTCCATGGCCGTGACCGTCTTGCGCTTGGCGTGCTCCGTGTAGGTGACGGCGTCCCGGATCACGTTCTCCAGGAAGACCTTGAGCACCCCGCGCGTCTCCTCGTAGATGAGCCCGGAGATGCGCTTGACGCCGCCGCGCCGCGCCAGGCGCCGGATGGCGGGCTTGGTGATGCCCTGGATGTTGTCGCGCAACACCTTGCGGTGGCGCTTGGCGCCGCCCTTGCCAAGCCCCTTCCCGCCTTTACCGCGACCTGACATGCTTGCAAGAAAAACACACGACTAACCAAAACTTGCTCGCACGGTTTTATATACTTCTTTAGCGGACCTGTGTGGGAACGCATCTCGGCCCCTTCTCCCCGCCCCTCGCTTCTTCCAAAAAGGAAAAGGGCGGTGCTTCATTATACCCTTTGGCTTAGGAAAAAAACACAAGGTAACATCATTTTCAAAGCTGAAACGCTGAAAGTTCATTCTTTAAGATCAGGAACAAGACGAGGATGTCCACATTCACCATTTTCATTCAATATTCTGTAAGTAGTCTTAGTTACCACAATCAAACAAGAAATCAAATGCGTCCAAATTGGAAAGCAAGAAGTAAAACTCATTATCTATACATGACGGTGTACTATAGAGCTAGCTCCCTAATGATTCCACCAAAAAAACTATAAGAACTAACAAATAAATTTAGTAATGTAGCAGAGTACAGAATTAATATCCAGAAATCAGTTGCATTTTCATACACCAATAACACTGTCAGAAAGAAATTAAAAAGGCAGAGATGTCACCTGGCACCTGTTAGAATGGCTATCATCAATAAATCAACAAACAGCAAATGGTGAGGATGTGGAGAAAAGGGAACCCTTGTGCATCGTTAGTGGGAATGTAAACTAGTGCAACCACTATGGAGAAAGGTATGGAGGATCCTCAAAAAACTTAAAGTAGAATAAATAAAATCAATCTGCCTTGAAAGAAGGAAGGAAGAGAGGAAGGAAGGAAGGGAGGGAGGGAGGGAGGGAGGGAGGGAGGGAGATGGAACTCCTACCTTTTGTGACAACATGGATGGAACTGGAGAATATTATGCTAAGTGAAATAAGCCAGTTGATGAAAGACAAATACCATATGATCTCACCTGTAAGCGGACTCTATTCAACAAAATAAACTAATGAAGAAAATAAACCACAGGCACAGAAACATGGAGCAGACTGAAAGTGACCAGAGGGGATGGGGAAGGAGGACAATGGTAGAAAGGAGGGGAAGAGACAAGATTAAGAACATGTATGAATGACCCCTGGACACGGACAGCAGAGTGGGAATTGACTGTGGGAGCGGGTGGTGGGGGTGGGATGGGTGGCGGGGGGTAAAGGGGTAAAAATTGAGACAACTGTAATAAAATAAACATGATTTATAAATTTAAAAAAAGATTGAGGAATACAAAACTTTAAAGTAGAACTACCACATGGCACAGCAACCCCACTTCTGAGTACCTATGTGAAGAAATTTGAAACACTAATTCAAAATGATATATGCATCCTTTATGTTTGTTACAGCATTATTTACAATAGAAGCAACATAAGTGTCCACCAATACTGATTAGATTAATTGTGGTACATTACACATTGAACTATTACTCAGCCATTAAAAAAAGAACGCAATCTTGCCATTTACAACAACGTGGGTGCACGTAAAGGGTATTATGCTCAGTGACATAAGTCAGATAGAGAACAACAAATACCTACCATAAGATTTCATGTATATGTGGAATTCAAAAAAATAAACAAATAGAACAGAAACAACTACATACAGAGGAAAACTGATAGTTCCAGAGGGGAGGGGTTTTGGGGGATTGGAGAAAAGAGATTAAGAAATACAAATCGCCAGTTATAAAAATAGACAGAGGGGTGTAAATACAGCTTAGGGAACATGGAAGAACATTGTAATAACTACTCGTGGTGCAGATGGGTACTAGACTCACGAGGGTGTTCAACTCATAAAGTATGTAAAGGTCTAATCACTACGTTGTGTACCTGACACTAATATAATATTGTTTGTCAACTCTAAACGAAAAATAAAACACACTTAAAAGCCTAATTAAACATTCCTCAGTCCAGCTACTCCTTCTGCAGTGCTGTGTGCTCCCTCACCTCCGCGAGTCCGTTCCTTCATCTGGGTCAGGCCTTGCTGTCTCTTTCTTTCTCTGTCACCTTTTAGCATCCACAGCACCTACTGACTGTGACTGCTAGATCTGAAGGACCCGTCCAAAGAGCCACAGTTGCATCATCCGGGTTGTTTATGAAGCCTCGTGTGCAAGGCGCTTTCTGCTTATCCCTGACTGAAGCAGCCTGCGAAGGGTCTGGCTGCGCTCAATGCCCCGATCATGGGGCGCTTCGAGGTGGGGAGCCTCACTTCTCAGCTTTGCTTCTCCGCCCCTGTCCTTACCTGCTACTCATTCTTTCTCCTTCTTTTCCCTTTCTTGCCTTGCTTGGGGTGGGAGGCAATTTTATATGTTATTTCATCTTGGTTAGAAACAATTGCGGTTTCTAACGTTGGTTGAGGAAGGTCAGCTCTTATGCACTGTTTCCTTGGAGAGTGGATGAGCAAGTGAAAATGCCTCTCAGAGCTCAAGCGTCCACTGCGGTGGCTAGAAAGGCATCCTCTGAGGATATGGCGGAGGGCGGGGCCCTACAATTGTTTCTGGAAACACTGAGAAAACTTACCAGTGCTCCTTTATCTGGTGATGGCGACAATGCTTTGCTCTGAAAATGGTATTAACATTCATCTCCATGTTTCTCAAAGGTGTAATTCTCTCTGTTGCAGTAGAGACTGTTAATTCTCTACTTCCACCTTCATGAAGGTGACAAATAGTCTGGCTCTGCAGGATTCTTACCTTTAGAAAACCTGAGAATCTCTGTTTATTTAAATTAAGTAGTATTGCCCTGACTGATGTGGCTCGGTTGGCTGGGTGTCATCCCACAAAATGGAAGGTCTCTGGCTTGATTTCCACGCCGGGCACATACCTGCGCTGTTGCTCTGTCCCCAGCTGGGGAAGTGTGGGAGGCAAACAATGGATGTTTCTCTCACACATCAGTGTTTCTCTCCCTTTCTGTCTCCCTTGTTCCCTCTGTTTCTCCCTCTCTCCCCCTCTCTCTAAAAATAAATAAATAAAATCTTTTAAAAACACAGTACTATTAAGATGTTTTCTTTTCATCTCTCAGCAAACAATAGCGCTGATTGACACAAGTTACCCAATAAATTTTTGTTGAGTAACTGGGACAGTTTTTCCCCCCTCTCACAGCAGGAGACATATTGCTTCCAAGAGAAATTTGACTGTTTTAAATTCCATAGAATTCTCCTTTAATTGGATGAATAAATGAGCTATATGGTTTCCTTTGCAATGTTCTGAGGGTTGCTTACTGGTCTACACTTGTGCAGTCGATAATTTTTTAACATTCTTAGTTCCAAGTGTTGGAGTCAATCTTTTTCAATATTGTTATATTTTCAATTTGTTGTTCCTCAGACTTATTTTTTTTTGACACCTGATTTTGTTTTGTGGGTTTCGGTTAAGGCATTAGAATTGGCTGGTAGGTTGTGTTGTATGTCCTTTTTACTTTTCTCTTGTTCTTCATTCAAAATTATTTTACATGCTAGTAATTAATACCTCCTCTATCTCTTATTTCTTCTGTCCCCAAAACACACACACTACGCCCTTCGGTGTAGTTTCCGCTCCATGAACGAAGGCCCTCCGGTCTCCCTGTCCGTCCACGGTGTCCAGGCCAGAAGCTTCCCTGTGAGGCACAGGGAGGAGCCCCGCTTCTTGCTCCCACCCGAGAGTAATCGCCATCTTGGCCCTCATCCTTAAACTTCCTTAAGCTACTACAGTCTCCATCTGCTATAAATATCAGCTAGAGAAGAAACTTGGAGACACAGAATCCAGTGTCTCCACTGGCCTCCTTCCCTGGCCTCCTTCTTTCCTCATCTTATTTACCACGCCCTTTGCTGAGGGTCACTGGGTCATGTTCTTGTCCGCTCAGGGCCTAAAAGCGGTTTCCAGAAGGGACTGCATACTTCCTCCTGAAACTCTCTCAAGACCCAAAAGTATTCTTTAATTTCCAAAGCTTTTCATGCCTGACACCCCCTCCTTGTCTTACCTAAAACTCTACGACGTTTCTGCAATATCGTACGTGGGACCACTGGGGGTCTTTATGTTCCCTTCTAAGCCTCTCTTAATTTAGCTGATTTCCACGCCTGAAATGTATCAAACAATACCTGCCAGAAACTGATTTTCTTTCCTCCACGTCCCTTTACTAATATCTTTGGGGCTGGATCCAGACAGAACAAAATCAGGGCAAAGAGGAGACCCGCTTCTGTCGGGGTCTTCTGACGTCTCACCCTCGTGGCCTGGGAGCAGGGACAGCGGTTAAGAACACAGTCCCTGCCCTGGCCGGCGGGGCTCAGTGGATTAAGTGCCGGCCTGTGGACCAGCGAATACAGTCCCTAAGCTTCTGTGTGTTCTTTGAAATCAGATCGGTTGCTACAGGCAATCTTTGTGTTCCGCGAAAATTCCTATGTTGAAACCTAATCCCTAATGTGATGGTGTTTGGAGGTGAGGCCACTGGGAGGTGCTCAGGGGATGACCTGGGAGCCATTTTGCCGGGGATTGGAGGCCCCTAAGAGGACCTGGCCACCCGTCGTCTCTTCCACAGGAGGACAAAGTGAGAGATGACTGTCTCTGAACCAGGAAGCCGGCTCTCGCCAGACCCTGGACCTGACAGGGCGCCACTCCTGCACCTCCCGCCTTGCAGAACTGTGAGGAAAAAGTCCTGCTGCTTAAGCTACCCCGTCTGTGGCTTTCTGGCGGCGCAGCCTGACCGGACTCGGCCCCTGGTGTTCGGCGAGGCGTATGTAAGAAGTACGTGGATTTGGTGCCTTTGGTTTTGGTGTTTAGTCCAGGTTATTTGGAAGTCGAGTCAGAAAACTGTTGGAGATGCTGGATCAGAGGACCAGGTGTGACCAGAATGACAGCAGCAAGGCTGGCTGAGCCTTGGGTGCAGCTCTTATTTTTGCCATTTATTTGTTCCGTGGCCTGAGAAAGGAATGTTTTATTTGTTCCCTTAAATTATCTCTATCATTTTGCTATCACAAATAACATTTTGATGAATGTTCTTGATTTATCCTCTTACGGTTCTGTAGGAGAATTTCTTTGTGGCACAGGTCTTTGTAAACCGCAGTTTTACTAAGTAAGTTAGAAAGTTCTAAGGGGACTAAATTGTAATGAGAAAGATACAATAAAGATTACATTTTTTTAAAAAAAAATTTCCTCAAAATGTCTGTGTAAAACTGCCACCCATAAACCATCACATAAAATTTCTCCACCTCTCATGCCACACTTGGCAAACCCAGCTTTCTGATTTGATAACCTGCTGGGTGTTATCTAGTATTTCATTATTTTAATTTGCATTATCTGATTAAAAGTGAAGTTAAAAAATTTTTTATGTAATTGTTAGCCACTCAGTTATCCCCATGTAAAAACTAAGACTTTTCCCCTTCAAGGTCAGGATAAACTACTACACTGAAAGCATAGTTTCTAACACAGAACTGACATTTTCTATAAACCCTCTGTCAGGCCACTTAGGTAAAGGAAGAACAGAAACCCTCATTCTCCTGTTTCCCTGTGGCCATTGGAGCTTAATCTGATCGCCCCTTCCCTTCCCAGATGCGTTAATTAAAAGAAACCTCCATCAGTTTTGTCACCCAATACCCAAGGGCCTTTGGAAAAGACAGACTTCTCTAGAGCCAGGCAGAGTAACGATGCCGTTTGGACCCTGAGAGCTATTGCCAGGGTCACATACAAGAAGGCATGGAAAAATACTTTGAAAACTGTAAAGCTTTATGGAATCGTCAGTATTATATCCATTCCCATTGTGACAAAAGTGGTGACAAAAACTATCTGGGATGAAATGGGCAATACAGGAGGGGGGAGCACTCAGTGACAACCTGAGGCTGAATGGGACTTTCTGGGTAAACGATGGCACATTAGCAACATTCATTCCACAAGGATTTAATGACCACTTACCATGTACCAGGCTTTTTTCATTCAAGGGATCCAACATCAAATAGAATGATATTTGGCCTTGAACACTCTCTTGGAGCTATTTCATACATGTGCCATGCAAGGCATAGTGCCATAGGAAAGGCTTCAGGTGGGCTGGAGGTATCACTACCCTCCTGGTCTCCGTGTGGTTTGAACCTCAGGGAGGTCACCAGGATGTTACATGATGGTTTCCAGGACTCAGCCATCAGGTCTTCCTGGCACAATGCCTGGGACTCCTGCTCACACAGGTCTACACTACCACGATGCTGGAACCTGGCAAAGCCAAGCCAAGCCAGAGCTCTCATTTGCGTTTTATATCAAACCCTGGAATCATTGAGAAAAATTCCAGGACCGTACCCTACAAGATTACCAGGTGCTACTGCCTAACTATGGACATTAACCCATTTTCTTTTGGAGTGCAAGATTCAAATCTTCACGGGACAATTAGAACGTGTAAGGTGCCCTTCCCTGTGCAGCAAAGACATCAGAGGACAGTGAAGCACAACTCTATTGCCGGACTGTAAATATCCGACTTGGGAAAGGGAGACGCTGGTTTTCTATGCACTGAACCTCATTTCTAGGTGGTAGGCACAGTTCCTTTCACATGACCAGACCTTTTTGCTCCTTACCTGTAGTTAACAGTAAGAGCTGACTCTGCCAACACATTGTTCTCTCCAAGTCCTGTTAAGGAATTCAAACTTCTCTAAGAAGCTATTTTATACACTGCACGAGACACCTTGCCAATACTTGAACCCACTTTGGGGAAAATGAGATGCTTCTAATAGCGAAAGAAACCCCGATCCCTTGTTTCCTTATTAGTTCTGCACTAATCGTGTACTATTAACACGTAACTTAGCAGTGCAACAGCCACTCCAAGGAGAATGGAAGTGGCTCTGAAAAGAGCCTTTGGGTTCAAAATCAAGACGCGCAGTTTACGCCCGCTCCCCGCGGATGCGGCGCGCCAGCTGGATGTCCTTGGGCATGATGGTGACGCGCTTGGCGTGGATGGCGCACAGGTTGGTGTCCTCGAACAGGCCCACCAGGTACGCCTCGCACGCCTCCTGCAGCGCCATGACGGCCGAGCTCTGGAAGCGCAGGTCCGTCTTGAAGTCCTGCGCGATCTCGCGCACCAGCCGCTGGAACGGCAGCTTGCGGATCAGCAGCTCGGTCGACTTCTGGTAGCGCCGGATCTCGCGCAGCGCCACCGTGCCGGGCCGGTAGCGGTGCGGCTTCTTCACGCCGCCCGTGGCCGGCGCGCTCTTGCGGGCCGCCTTGGTGGCCAGCTGCTTGCGCGGCGCCTTGCCGCCCGTCGACTTGCGCGCCGTCTGCTTGGTGCGAGCCATCCTGCGCACTCCCACACACCCAGCTGGGGCAGAAGCGCGAGGGGCCCCCTCCACCGGTTTATATAAGGCGAGTCCCGCCCTGATTGGACCGGGCGTCTGCCCATCAAGCCTCGCAGTGAAGTTATTGGAGGCGACACCTGCTTTCCGACAGCGGGAGCCTCCGGGACCTTCATGCTAGAAACTACTTCCACCGCCAGCGCCTTCAACAGCGGCTGTGTTCTACCCTTATCTCCACTGTACCGACTTTCCGCCTTTTCTTTACAGCGTTTTTGGACCTTTCCCCGCGGAATTGAAAGTAAATATTACAATGAAACACCTTGTTTGCGAAAAGAACTTTTTAAATTTTGGCACCGGAAACTGGTTTTCATTTGATCCTTTTGAAAAGGCGCGCGCTGGATGGGATTGGCTAAGGGATTTTTTTGTCTCATTCAAATTTAAGAAGGCTAATTTCACGTTAACATCTTGGTTTCTCTACTTAGAGAATTTTACAATGTTTTATAGACCTTTTCTGTGTATCTAACTCAATGTAACACTTAATGTTTACTTTTTCACTAACTAGCATTTAATATAAAGCATTCCACTAGTCTTACGATTTCAACTGAGATTTGGTGAGCAAAACATCCTAAACGTGTAAATGGTACAAATAAATTCAGTGTGCCCTTGCGTCGTTTATGAACGTGCACTGAATTCTGCCTAAAGGACATAACTCGAGGGCATGGAGTAGTTTTCCGTTTTACAATCGACTAGGGCCCAGCAGAATTGGAGACTAAGACAAGTGGTATTATTGCCCGGTCACTAAAATTGCACTTAAATCTTTGCTTGTAACCTATTGTTCTTCTCATGTTTTTCTCCTGGTTCAACCCTGAGGGTCTGCAGCATTGATAACCATAAATTGCCTACTTTGCAAAGCATCCCCACCCGTTTTACTATGCTGCTATTAACTTTTGTGGTTCACTTTCACGTTTCCAGGAGTGGCCGCACTGACATCTATTGGTTCATTGAGGTATTACAGTAAGGGTTGTTAGCAAGTAGCCGCTGCAACCGGGAAAAAGCAAGCCCTTTTTAGTGAGAACGTGGGTGGCTCTGAAAAGAGCCTTTGGTTAAGGTAGAGAAAGACTCAAATCTTCCACTTCACTTGCCCTTGGCCTTGTGGTGGGTCTCGGTCTTCTTGGGCAGCAGCACGGCCTGGATGTTGGGCAGGACGCCGCCCTGCGCGATGGTCACCTTGCCCAGCAGCTTGTTGAGCTCCTCGTCGTTGCGGATGGCCAGCTGCAGGTGGCGCGGGATGATGCGCGTCTTCTTGTTGTCGCGGGCCGCGTTGCCCGCCAGCTCCAGGATCTCGGCCGTCAGGTACTCCAGCACGGCCGCCAGGTACACGGGCGCGCCGGCCCCGACGCGCTCGGCGTAGTTGCCCTTGCGCAGCAGGCGGTGCACGCGCCCCACCGGGAACTGGAGGCCGGCCCGCGACGAGCGCGTCTTGGCCTTGGCGCGCGCCTTGCCGCCCTGCTTCCCGCGCCCCGACATGATGCACAGAAAACTTTGGCGCCGACTTGAGTGGGAGTTGTGGCGCCCGAAGCTGCCCTGTTTATAGTCGTTCCAGGGCTCGAAAGAAGAACCAGTGCCATTGGCGAAAAGTTACAGCGCTTTCGCCTAAACCAATGGGAATCCTCGCTCTGAAATACGCTTGTCCTGACTGGGCAACATTCGTGTGACGTTCCCACGAGTTACCGCCAGTCAGGCAGGACTTCACTCCCCGCCTCCTTTAAGAGGCTGTGACCCGGGAGGAGCACACCCGCAGCCTCTCGCTCGCCGTTCCTCAGCGTCTGTGGCCTTTCCTGCCGACCATGCCCGAGCCCGCCAAGTCCGCGCCCGCCCCGAAGAAGGGCTCCAAGAAGGCGGTGACCAAGGCGCAGAAGAAGGACGGCAAGAAGCGCAAGCGCAGCCGCAAGGAGAGCTACTCGGTGTACGTGTACAAGGTGCTGAAGCAGGTGCACCCGGACACGGGCATCTCGTCCAAGGCCATGGGCATCATGAACTCGTTCGTCAACGACATCTTCGAGCGCATCGCGGGCGAGGCGTCGCGCCTGGCGCACTACAACAAGCGCTCGACCATCACGTCGCGGGAGATCCAGACGGCCGTGCGCCTGCTGCTGCCCGGCGAGCTGGCCAAGCACGCCGTGTCCGAGGGCACCAAGGCCGTCACCAAGTACACCAGCGCCAAGTGAGCCCTCCGCGGAGAGACTCATCAGGCCCCTTCACACCCAAAGGCTCTTTTCAGAGCCACCCACACTTTCAGAGAAGCTGCTGGGTAATTTTCCTTGTAGTCCTTGTTTTTCTTATAAAGGTCGAGGTTTGTTTTTGGAGAGGATGATACGTCGAGACGGATCAAGTACTAAGTCCTCCGTAGGCATTTTGAGGTAAGCATTGGGCGTAGCGTATGCTAATTTATTATGGACTTTTTTAAGGTCTTTTTGAAAGAGGCTTTCCCTTTTTCCTTCAGCCACTAGAGATTTCGCTTTTGTTTGCACAATCAATGCCAGTAATTCCCCGGTTTCTAATTGGGCGCCGTCGCTTTTTGAAAAGCCCGCCCTGGGCTCCAATTGGCCAAATGACTTCCCCTGTGTCCTTTTCCTGTTCTCTGGAAGGTAAACTGTGGACCCTGAGCTGGGGACATAAATCGTCAGCCTCCGCACCCAGAGCCATAGGCTGAACAGGGCGGTTAGGAGGCTCCCCAGATATAAATTGTGCAGTAAGGAATCCATCAACCTGGAGAGCCGCTGTCTTCCTCTTTATCAGGGTGAGTCGGCGGGAGGCAGGGGTGCCCAGGGCTCACTAGGACGGCATAGCTCAAGCTGAGATTTGAGCACCCACGATGAGCACTCCAGCCGTGGAAGTCAACCCCGTGTAAAATGAGAGAAGCGGGCCCCAGAGGTAGGAAATGAGCTCAATGCTGGGTAGCCAGGAATCCGAGAGGGGACTGAAGGCTCGAAGGAAAGTCCTTTAACTTCCCATCATCTTGCAGTGGTACCCAATCATCTTTCTTGCATTTTAAAGCGGTAACATTCTCCGCCACACTTTTTCCCCTCTGTAGCTGTAGATGTGAACAAAACCAACTCCATCTCCGTGTCCCGGATTTCATGTCAGTTCCATTCTGTGACGTTTGACCTACTTCACTGTCCTCAGCCAGCATAGCAAAGCTTCCTGGTGGATGGTTGTCTGTGTTCCTTAAAATACAGTTTAAATACATTTTTCGATCAATAGCTGGAATGTATTGAAAACAGATAAATATCAACCTGTCGGAGAAGGGCCAGGAGTATGGCCCCAGCTCCACTACATTCTTTATCCCTTTGTCTTGTCAGTCATCGGTGCTCAAGGTATTTAAAAAGGTACGGTAATAGGGTACAGACAGGGGAAATATTTTGTGCAGAATTGCTGGGCGGTCTGTCCACACTGGCCCAATCTTCCCCTAAGTAAACTACCTATAATAAATTGTTACATCCTACGGAGTTGCCTGCTTGGACTCTCTGAAGACACCTTCTCCTTACGGCGGCCATTACACTCTTGCCCACCAAGGGACACAGATATTAATAAAATGCAATGGTGTCAGCTGAGAGGTGTGGAAAGGTAGGTGGGGAACAGGTAAGCTAGTCTCAATCCTGTTCTCCTCCTCCTGACTTCCTCAGCTCTCTGTCAGAGGAATACTGCCCCACGGCGAGAGTTTCTAGGCCTCTTGGGGGAATTTCTCAAGTTTGGAAGTCTCTATAGTTGGCATCGAAAGCTACAAAGCGAAGGCTCTGATTGGAAACATATTTTGAGGACTCCTGGCCGCCGCCGCCGCAGTGTTCTGCGTCATTGAGCGCAGTCTTATATTCCCGGTCTTCGGGCAACTAAAAGTGACCCCCGGAGTCCCTTCCCACAGAAACAACCTGTGACTAAAAATAAACCTCCTTTTTGTGAGTCACTTGAAGCCACTGCTAACTGGTACACATGACAAAGCTTTGTTCCAATCTTGGAAAAAACAATACAGTAAGTCCCCTCTACTCGAGAGGGATACGTTCCAGGACTTCCAGTTGATACCTAAAACCAGGGATATTACCGAACCCTACAGGCACCATTTTTTTTCCTATAGACACATATGATAAAGTTTAATTTATAAGTTAGGCACAGTAAGATTAATAACAATAATAATGAAATAGAACAATTATTCCAACACACTATAATAAAAGTTATGTGAATAAGATCAGTTGTTTCAGAGATCCTTTGCTGAAGTCTTCCTGGAGGCTCAATGCTTTCTGGTGCAAGGCATTGTGGTGCAAGACAATGTGTGTGCAAGACATCAGAACACATTTTCTGTTCATGCCTTCCGCTACAAATTAATGCCTTTTTCTTCTTAACTAAGCACTTACTACACACTGTGGCCATACGGTTTGCAGTTTGAGGTGTAACAGGAAAGCAGCGTAAATTTCTTTTTCGTTCACAGTTTCACAGAAGATTTATCCTTAATGTAGATCTCAGCGACTTCAGCATACAATTTTTTCTCTCCTTATTAAATCAAGAGCTTAAATCTTTTAACTTAAAGGAAGCACTTTACATCTCCTCTTTGGCATATCTGAATTGCCAGGATTGCTGCTCTTGCGATTTGGGACAATTATTAGGTAAAACACAATGCTTGAACCCAAGCACCATTAACCGAGATGGCTCCAAGTAACTAAGGGGCGAGGAGCATTTACAGCCTGGATACGGTGCCCGAAGGGCCCGGCCAGGACCCAGTAGGATGGCGGGAGATTTCATCATGCTGTTCAGAACAGCTCGCAATTTAAAACTCATGAATGGTTTATTGAATTGTTTATTTTTGAAATTTTTCATTTTGTATTTTTGAACGTTGTTTGTTCACAGGTAACTGAAACCTTGAAAAGTGAAACCGCAGATAAGGGGGGGTGGACTCTTTCACTACCCAAAACAGTGCTTTGAAGCCCCTGCCTTGGGCTCCTTTTAAAATG